CTGGTCAGGCACTGCCAGCTCAGGAGTCTGCTGAGAACTTACAGCACCTAGATTTCTGTCTGCGGGCCACAGCCAAGACCAGCCTCAAAGGCTGGAACCACTAGGTGCCTGGCAAGGTTCCAGCCCAGGAAGGGGACTTCCAGTTCAGCTGTTGTGCACCTCCTTCCTAGTGCTGCTTATCCACCCATCTTCAGCAGGAGAGCGAAGAAGACACGGCAACAGCAGCAGCCTATGCTCATCTTGCCTGTCCATCTTAGGGCCTGTGCAGACAGACCCACTGGGAAAATTGAAATAAACACAAGTGGTGAAAGCATCAGAGCCAGGTTACCTGCACACTTCTTGCTCAAGCTTGTCCACTCAAAAAGAAAAGGGGGAAAACCTGGAAGCAGCAGTTAACTCTTCTGAAGAGGTTAAAAGCATTCTTTTTCATGAACTTGTAACCCTACTTATTATAATAACATTATAATACTCACCTGAATAACAATCTTTAGGGCTTTTACTTTCTGATCTGAGGCCCACGCATCCTTCAAGGATTGGTTGAGTTCTTCAATCCGGTTTGTATAGTCTTGCTGGGTTAAGTTGAGTAATTCTTTTTGGGACCCCTGAGAAAGTATACGTAGGGTGCAAACAGTGAGTTATTTTTTAACAACTTACTTCTCTCTCTTTGGGAGAACAGTGTGGAAAATGCAGAATTGCTGTCCAGTAGAAACCAGCTATCACTCCTGAAGAATTCCAGACAGCATCTTTTCTCCTCAAACAGGCATTTCTGTCTTATTGTTTACATTAGAACATAATTTTTTTATCTGTTACAAATTACAGGATCAAAAGCTCTCATCTGGATTTTCTCAAAAGACAGGGTACAATAGACTGTAAAGTATGTGAAAATCCCATAGAATACTGGAAATCAATGACAGATATTGTTTTAAAAAACAAGTTGTTGCTCACCTCTTCAAGATCATCCAATTCTTCTAGTCTGGTCCGCACTTTCTCTGAAACTGCAGATCCAGGAGTTGTAGCTTTTCCTGCAAGTAATTACATGGTTTAAATTGTACAATCCTCAGGAACTCAATTTTTGAGGATGAGATTCTACACTAATTTTGGATTGAGATTAATAATAAATTATGCCCCAATGATATCTGTAGAAAACAATTGCACACAGGGGTTAGAATAGACATGTTCTGATGTACATCTCGAACTTTTGTAATTGCCAGTATTTTACATGTTGTATGCCAAATTTCTGCTTTATAAAAGCCCTAGGAGTCCTCTGTTTGGAAAACAAATGTATAGCTGTCCAACCTTTAGGTTGTTTTTTTTTAAGAATGTGAAGACTCCATATGTATCAAAAGAGAGGGTGTCAGTTCATGAGGAAACTCCTTCATGTAATATTCTTTCAATTAAGCAACAATATGTTTTACAGGAAAGAGAACAGAAGATAATGCTGGCAGTTATATGTAAAACTTTCAATATAGTTAAGTATTTGGAAGCAAATGCTTACCTTTTTCAGATCCCATGTATAAATTCTACAAAAGAAAGAGATATTCAGTTTCAAAATTAGTGATGCCCAACTGCCCAGTTTTGTTACGTAACCAAAGGCCAACATAACAATCAGGACCTTTCAAAATTCACAATGTGAATTATCACGTACTACTCAAAGCTACAATATGGCTGGTTTGGTTTGATATGTTCTATGAATATAATCATTACACTTTATAAACCATGGCTTTTGGCTTAAAACATGAACCCAGGCAATTATATTTTAAAGTATGGTTTTGCAGCTCCAGATGTTCCAGGAGAAAGGTAGCTCAGGAGAAAAATGTGACCCACTGCCAATTCTCAACATGCCCCGATAAATTACCTTTCTTTTATAATAATTAGACTTGCCTCATGAAATGTTTTCCTTGATTCCCAACAGCTTTATTTGCATTATTTAAACAAGATTAAAAATTGACTCACTATGGACAGTTTCTCATTTGTTGTGTACCGTGCCAGTATTTCACCCCGTTTGCTTGACCAAGGTTCAAAGTCACTTCCCACAGACAAACTCTCATCTTTATCACGCTTCTTCCTGGCATTATCCTACAAAGGAATAAGAGAGTTACAAAGAAAGTGTAACATTCTTGCATAAATAAATAGTGCTGCTTTTATGGTTAAAAACGCCTTCCTTTTATTTTTTTCTAAATTGAAGATAAAATTAAATGGTACAACACAAGAATGAATAAAAGCCAGTGACAAACATGAATTGTCAGAAATATATTAAAAAAAAATAACTGCAGGCAAATCCATCAGCTATTCAGTAAAAGCAGACAGATTAGCTACCTATGGAGAGTAGCACAAATGAAGTCTGGCCTGTGCATTCAGCACCTTGGAGAGCTCACTGAAAGACTTGTTAAACCACTTACCTTCTTTGCAGCCCCCCATCCCTCTGAGTGCATCGGTGAATACTAAAAACGACAGCTGAAAATAACAGAACACTTTCTGTCATGGTATGTGGGAAAGACCTTGGGAGACCGGGCAAAGAGATGCTGCTAAGGGAATGGTCAGATAAGAGACGGCATAGTGGGAAGGGCAAGAGGCTCAGAAGGGACCCTCCCTAGTTGTAAAGGAGATGATGGGGGGGGAGGATTGTACTGTCAGACTTGCAAGGTTCTGTTAATGTAGCTTTACAATAAAGTAGAATTAGCTCATGTGGTTGTGATTCCTATCTGCTTCTCCTACCATTTTGAGACAGGAAACTCACAAAATATAAAGTAACACCGACCCTGAACAAGCTTGAAATGATTAAAAAAAGATATCCACCTTCTCCCCTCTATCGCCCCCCAAATATGAGTGGAGACCACAACATTTGGGAGGAGCCCATAGGTGTGACGTGACCCTATCCACTGCAATCCTCACTATAAGGAATTTAAATATAGCCCCCAGCCAGCAAAAAAACTTGTCTATCCAAAAGAGAAGGCAATTAAACTCTCATCCAGACAGCTGTCACTTCAGAGCCTGACTGTGATCCCAGGAGATGTCTTAACTCTATCCCTGCTTGCTGCTAAGTCAAAGGGTCTGTGTCCCCTTTCTGCAACTTGGAAAATATAGAGGCTATGGAGGAGTCATTGTCCGGCTAGGATGACATTACAGAGCATTCAGAAGGCTTCTTCTAACTGGGTTGACCTGGGCTCTCTTCAGTGGCCTCTGGGTTCGTGACCCCGGAGACAAAACATTACAATTTTGGACAACGCACATTTGCAGAATGCAGGGGCAGCAGGATATCAGCCCCCTCTAAAATCAGTCTGAAATAACATTACCATTGTTATAGTCACCATTGGATCTGCCGTAGCTGCAAACAAAGATAAAGGATCTGTGCCATCCAGAACGCTGCTCAGTGGATCCAACATTGAACTAGAGGAGGAGGAAGATGTAGAGGATGTGCTTCCTTTACGACCCAATTTTTTTGTCTTAGATTCAGTAACCTGAGGAATAAAATACCATATATGAGAGGTTTGCAGCCCAATCTCTTCCATGCTTATTCCAAAGGAAATGGCACTTATTCCAAGACCAGGCAAACATGTGGAAGATACCAGCTCTCGTCTAACTATTTCAGATTGAGATGATTCAATCTGTAAGCTACCACTGAGCTAGGCATACTTATGGCCATTTCCTTAAGAAGACAATGGAGGAGAATAAAACTCAGTGCTAGCCATAGCCAAATTCTGAATAAGCTTAAATCAGGATTTCAGGCATATCCACATGCTGCAAATAGAAAACTGAACATTCTACCACCAGTGTACACAGCAAATGGTGTAGAATTTAATTTCCCCCACTTGAAGTCACACTGATGGTATCAAACAGACCCCTTTATGGAGGATATGATTGGTGCCACAACTAAAAAGGTCTTGCTCTTTTATTAATCAAACTTGATAATGATACTGTGGATTTGGATTCTGCCCAAACAGACCAATATGGCAGTGTATATTTTTCTGCAGATTACAAGGTAAACCTACCATAATGGGTTTGAGTGGATGGAAGTCTCCAAATTCCACAGACACAGCTTCCAGCCTGCATAATTCCAATTCACGTCCATAGTTTCGAGTTCTTGCATGCCTGAAGGACAAAAGTAAAAATATATAATTTCATGAGCAGGCATGATTTGCAAAGCCCACTCACAGTATGGAAAAGCCTTATTCAACCTGCCACTAATGCAAAAGCTGATGAGATTCCCTCTATTTTGGCTTCACCAATGTGAAGGGCAATGAATTCACTGGAGGAAAAATAAATGGAGGAATCATAAATCACATCTTGCAAGTCAGCTTTACTCCACATCTGTTTCAGCAGAGACAAGAATTCAAACCAGTACGTTGAAGGCCAATTCTCACACACCTTTCCACAAGTCTCTCTATAAAAGGTTAGGAGAATTCAGAAGAAATCCACAGGGTGGACAGGCAACATGTGGTCTTCTACAGGTGCTAAATTCCAATTCCAACCTACTCTAACCAGCACGGGACACCCATGATGATGGGAAGACCAATCCAACACCATCCGAAGGGCCAACCCTGAGATATATCATAATTCAATAAAAATAAATTTTACCTATAAGCATAAGTTCAAGGCAAGTTGCAAGAAAAATGACCTAGCACTTCCAGTCAAAAGGACAGAGGAGCTGTTTTGAAATTATCTGAATGTAGGAGAACATTATTACACATAATTTCACTTTCATCAGTTCAATGTAGACGTTTTGCAGTAAGTAAACATTTATTAACAAAAGAGAAGAAACATTTCTTTCCTAAGATGAATCACCAGTGACACCAACTGGAATCTGAAAGAATACTTTTTTTTCCTTCCAGTCAAAAGCAAACTTCTGGACTGACATACTACCGTAGCTACACATTTGTTTAATGTTGGTATATTGAATAAACCACAATGGCTGGGTTCAGCAACATGCTCAGCTGTAAGATAGTTTATCAGGGTTTGGCTTAGAGTGTGAACCCAGTCAATCCATTTGAAAAATATACACTTCTCTGTAACAAATCGAGTTTGGAAGTAAACACCTGATCACTGGAGGGACAGAAAGTATTTCATCAATATTTCTGCACACGCACATTTCCATTGGAAGCCTATTCTTGTGGCATAATTAAGGGATGTGAAAATGCATGTAAAAGTCTAGTGTTTTCCCAAGTATGTAACTTTTCATCATGCTTTTCCCTTTCAGGATAATCAGCATAAAGCAAAAGGCATACCGAAGTTAGACATAGTAACCTGCAAGATGCTTTGCTGCTAAAACCTCTTTTTAGTTTGCATGTGATACGGCTGATTTCTCCAAGCAACCAAGTTACTGCCCATTGCTGCACCATTCACTGCTGCACAGAGGCACCTCTTTACTACGCGCCATAGCACTATTTAGAGGAAAAGTTTGCTGGCATCTGCACCTTGCTTTAAGGGTTCATATTCCTTTCCCTTCATCCTCCCTCCTGTCCCAAAAGAGATGGACCGGGGGATTGCTATTTGCTGGACAACTGCTAAAAGCCACAGTGTCTTTTTGCATTAAATATTAACACAGTTCATCTCCCCCCCCCACCATGCATACCTCTCCCACCGTTGCAGCTCTGATTCCAGGTTTAATTTCCATCTCTCAGACCACCAAAAGAACATCTCTTTGTCCTACAAATCTCCCTATTACCCCTTTCCTTGCCTCACCCCAAGTATATCCCCCAACTCCAAAAAGGCCGCACCTGTGGGATTTCCACCTGGTCCATCACTGCTAAGATAAACAGGGCTTTTTCGTTTGCAGACAAACCCTAATTTATTCAAAAGGCCAAGGCTGCACCTCAGATTCCCAGAAAAATATAGGCCTCCACTTTCCAGCTCGCTGACCTCCCCATCCCCATCACTCCAATTCCAGAGGGTTGCCTATAGTGACCATCCATCCTTTATTATAAAGGCCAGGCCTTTATTTCAGAAAGCTGTCCTTAGATTTATTTATTTTTCAAAACTCCCGCTGCTCCTTTATTTTGGTGATTTAACTTTTCCCGTACAAATGGTACCATTTAACGCAGTCTTTCACATTCATGTGAAAAATATGGAAATGGAATGGTCTTTTTAAAATAAATTTACAGATACCGTTTGATTGTAGAGGTTTTTATTCAAACAGGCGTTTTTGTAAAGTTTTTCTTGGTTTGGCTCTTGAATTTTCCTTTGCAAAGCCAAGTTGTCAACATAAACCATCAACATTTTTTATCCTGACGAACCTTTTTCAGATTTGCCCCTTTTTCAGACTGGTCCGTTATTTTTCCCAAGGAAATACGGTCACCGTAGGATGTCCCTGTTGGATTTCTATCTGCCCAAGCCTCTCTGAGGGCCTTAAGGCTGCTTCTCACGCCAAGACATGTAAAGCCCCCCCCCCCCTGCCCCCCCCCCCCGCCCAATGCGCCGGGAAGACAACGTCCGTCC